ACAAGTGGTTGTGTATTGCCCAGTGTAAGAGCTATGATCCAAACATGAGTCCCACTGATGAACAGCAAGTGCTTTTAACCACTGAGCCATCTCTCCATCCCTGGGATCCTAATTCTTACAAAGGTAACAGAGAATCTTTGTCCCAGGAGCTGGGACTTTTTGGGTTTGAGGAAGTCAGTGAACAAAGTCATGTTCTGATGTAAATCTGGCTAGAACTGAGATTCTTATTTTAATACTCAGCCTGGAGTGTTGCCTCACACACCCTGGAGATGCCTCGGGTTTCTGTTAGTGCTCACACTGCTCACTCCTGCTACCCAATACTAGCTTCTTCCTCAGTAGGGCTGAAGCTGAGTTATCTTTTCTGAGCTCCCCAGACCTTCTGGGCTGCTTTCCTTTTTTTTTTCTTGACTTTATATGTAATCTTTTCACTGTTGACATCAGCTTTCTGACCACATTTCTTGATTTGAAGTCTTGTCTTCAGAGATATGTTATAAACACATCACTTCATCTCTCTCAATAGAAGGTTTCCTGATCTCATATAGGAGATTCATGACCTATATTTTGAGACAGATTTCTAGAACTTTTCTTTTCCTCATCTATCCCCAATAGCTGTGTCCTGTTGCAAAATGGATTTTCTGTAATGCAATGAAAGAAGTTTTCAATAGTCCTCTCTGTTAAAAATCTGGAAGACCTGCTTTGAGTGATGTACTACTCAGTGCTTCATGTGAGGCTCCAGCTAAGTTACTTCCTGCCACCTCTGTTCTCAGGCTTCTCAGCATGTCACGTGACTCAGCCTCCTTTTCTATTTTTTTCTTATTGTATGTATCCTTCCAATCCTGCCGGACCTACCTTTTTGGAGGTCTTTTTGCCACTGTGTTCTGTGAGGTGTCTCTACCCCATGTTCCCTCAGTCCATGAATACTTCTGACCCGGCTCCTGCCACACAACATGCTGTCTTCCTTTCTTCTCAGATCAAGAACTGTTTTCAGTTTTCTGAGAACAGTGTCCACAACTGGGACGGCAGGGGAGATGGGCACTATATGCTTATTCAATAAATATTTGGGTCAATTATTATATAATGTAGAGGGCATAGGACAGTATCATATGCCTTTCTCAATCATTATTTCATTTTATCGTTTTTAGACAGGATCTCACACTGAGTTTGTAGCTTACCAACTATCTACACTGGATAGTCAGCAAGTTCCAGGGATCCTCCTGTCTTTTCTCTCTCCAATGGTGACATTAACTGTCCCAACAATTGTTCTGACTGTTAGGAATCCAACCATAGGTCCTCACGCTTGTAGGGCAAGCATTTCACTAACAGACCCACTTCAGCCCTCAAGCCAATAATGTTTAAACTTTATTTCAGTCCCCGGTTGCTTTTGTAATTCTGAAGCCAATGTATAGTGTATGTGGAGCCTCTGGACATTTTGCTTCAGCTTTTCTGGATTATCCTTCATGATACATCAAGAAAACCACAGCAATGAAATGGTCATCAGCAATATAACATACAAGGAAAACATCAAGTAAAAATATTGCTTAATATCAACCCAATAGCTTCTGGGGTACTAGGCATGCTCTGTTCTAACATTTGTCAACTATTTTACAAGTATTTGTTGGGCATTGCAGAGTCATGCCCTGTATCTGATGCTGGCTACCTAGAAAAGAACATATTCTTATTTTGTTAAATACACACCAGTAAAATTTTCTACAATGTGCCCAGATACCAGCTCTCTAGCGCTGCCCCTGCTAGCTCACCTCATGCAGCAGGCAGCAAGTTGCCCAGAGTATTCTCCTGTTCTCATGTTCTTGGGGCAGGTTTATTCACACATCCTCCAACAGGGCCAGCTGTATGATGTTGCCTAGGTGAGGTTCAAGGTCCATTCTCCCTAGTGACGCAGCTGGTATGGGCCAAGACCTGTTCTCCTGCTCTCATGTCCCTGAGGCCAGATCTCTCACCTGCCACAGGTGATGGGGGAGGGGAGGGGGAAGCATCTTTCCCTCACCCATGCCACTACCACATGGCAGACCAGTTGGGGCTGGGTCAACTTTCCCCCTTTGAGCTGCCCAGGCAAGGTGCAGGGCCTGCTCTCCAGAGTGCTGCAGCTGGTAAGGGGCAGGGCCAGCTCTCCCGCTCTCATGACCCCAGGGCCAGATGGCAAGGGGCAAGGGGCAAAGGAGCTCAACATGAGAGACAAGCAGTGGGACATGCTCATACCCTAGGGGCCTGCTCACCCATCCATATCTCCAGCAACATGGTCAGCCCTACTGTGCTGTCCAGCAAGGTGCAGGGCTCGCTCTCTCCCATGTGCTGCAGCTGGTGAGGGGCAGGGAAATCTGGCCATTTTAAATTAGAATTCCTTGCTAGTTGAGGCACTTATGCACTGGAGGAAACACACAGTGTAACAGTTAGGGAAAAAGACTATGCAGTCCCCCAGCTGAGACTCTTTTCTCAGATGTACCTATTCTATACACTGTAAAGATCTACTTGTTTATTTCAGCGGAGTCTTATTCTCTGCATCCACAAAAAGCAAGGAAGTGTCACCTACTTCCAGGTTACTGTAAGTGAAATCAAATAGAGTCGTACCCCCACTGCCGCCTGGAAAGTTCCAGATCTACAGGGACAGCAAGGTTCAGGTGCAAGTGCAGATGTGAAGTACCTGCCTTCAGGTCCCACACTATGGACTTTTAGCTATGCTGCCTATTCAATAAAGCACTAACATGTTTTACTCACCTTACTATTTTACTACAAATGAAGATTTCTTTAGTTTTGTGCAGTTTAAGTTAATTTTGTGTATTTTGAGTAGGTTGTAGTGGGACATGCCTATATCCCCAGAACCTAGGAGGCAGAGACAGAGTAAAAGCAATGAAAACTTGAGTTTTCCCATGTTTATCAATCTCAGCAGAAATCCAGAAAGTGGGAATACCTTAAAATACATACATAACCGTAACAGCACACACAAGCCCCTCACAGGTTCAAACCAGACAAAATCCCAGTGCTGAGAAGAGGATGTAGCATAAAGTCTCATCCCTAACCCAGAAACTGTTTGCAACTGATACCTGCTGGCAGAGGGAGTATTGGTTTTCTCTAGTGGAGTGTCAGTTGCATTCCAGGGCAGGCCCGGTGCTCAGGAGTAGCTGATCATCCTAAAACAGACTCCATGTGTTTGTTTTATGTTTGTGTGCAGAGAGAGAGACAGAGACAGACAGATACATTTTTAGTTTTATTTTTTTGAGAGAAAGAAAAAGAACATGAAGTCGGGGAGGTAGGAAGGTGAGAAGGATCTTGGAGGAGTTGGGGAAGGAGATAATAATATCAAAATACATGAAAATTTTTTGAATAATAATAAATATAAATCATATAATTTATAAATATATTTTCAACTTTATTATAATCTAGGCTTGTTTTAGAAATCTTTTTGGGAATTAACTTGCTTCATGATAGTCCTGGCCCTGGCTAAAGTAATCCAAAGGGAACCCCTTGCAGAATCTCTAAATCCAGATGCAATCCTTCCTCTTTGGCCTTGCTGGAATCTGTCTCTTGTCATTGTTATAGCCTTTGGCTAAGCACACTGTCATTGATTGTGACTCAAACTTTCCTTGTACTTATATAACCATTCCCTTGCAGTTCCCTCTACTCAGGTAAACTATAGAGTCTGGTTGGATCCTGATGTAATAATTTATTCTAGATCTGTAGGAAGTAGAATGACTTGGATGTGTTAGAACAGTGTGTGGGCAGGCATGTGCTTACGCTTGTGGAGGTCCGAAGTTGATGTTAGGGACCTTACTCAGTTGCTTTCCACCTTATTTTTTGACTATCTCACTTAACCTGGAGCTGTAATTCAGTTAGACTGACTGGTCAGCACACCTCCAGGTTCCTCCTGTCTTTTCCTCTCCAGTGCTAGGATTTTAAACTTGCATGTCACCCCTTTTTCATACTATTTTTAAAAATATAGGTCTTTAAATTTATTTTTTGTTTTTTCGAGACAGGGTTTCTCTGTGTAACAGCCCTGGCTATCCTGGAACTCACTTTATAGACCAGGCTGGTCTCAAACTCACAGAGATCTGCTTGGCTAATAAACTAGGTATTCTTAGGTGTATATAAATAAAGCTATTTCTCTTATTAGTACAAATAAGAGCAGATGGAGGCATCAATGTGTTTCTATATAATGTGTAATTTGAAAATAAGATCCAAAACAAATTGAATGCATGAATAAAGTAAACAGCTTAGTTAGAAATTATTTATTTACGAAATGAAACCTCTTAAAAAGATATGAAGACAAACAGCAGCTTAGTACGTAACATGCTACTTTCCTGTTTTCACTCATATAGTTTTTGAAGTCTAACATAGTAATTTAGATGCATTCTCATTAATACTGGTGGGAGTTTGAAACTGAAATCCCCTTTGCACACGTCTTTGAAAATGTCTAGGTCAAAGTAAACTGTTAATGAAAAGCTGTTCTTCACTTTCAGTGAAGTAGTTTAGAAAGTGCCTCCCTGCTTCTCACAGAAGTGCCTGGGAAGGTCACTGATTAGAGGTCATCAGCTCTAAAGCAACACCAAAAGGTAATATATTAGAGAAGAAGTGGGTTTTCCCAAAGGAAAGAACACAAGTTCAAGACTCACATTGTTTTGCTGTAGCAAAGGACACTGGACCCTTTTAGTGGACCCCTAAAGTCAGGTGCATGTGATCAGAGATAAAGGCATGCTAAGGTGAATTTTAATTAGGACTAAATTGTGGTATTACTCTTTCATAGCCTGAACATCTGTTGCCTTCAGAAATGATGATTTATGCAGGCGATCAGAGCAGACAGCTTGCTATAGCTTATGTCACGGCTAGTGGGAAGCTGGAGAAGCTGGAGGTAGCATTTTAGAAAACCAGCATCTAAATGGAGATTGGCCAGTGTGTATGACATAGGAAATAGGGAGAAGGGAGCATGTGTCCATCTTTAAATTCTGATGCCAAATACTGACTTGAATTTTAAAAAACCTGTCTTCTAGACCATCTGCTGCTAATGAAGAAAGTGACTTGGACAATGCGTGGGTTGATGCTTCCCACTGATGTCAAAAGACAGAAAACTAAGCCCGCACTTTCCAAAAGGATGAAGACACGTGTTCAGAAGACCGCAGTACGAATTCTAGTCTTTAAGAATGGCATGGGACAGGATGGGCATGAGATTACAGTGGGAAAGGAAACAATGAGGAAGGTAACTTCTAAAATTGAAATACGAATCACATTTCAAAGTTTATGACTTTCAAAGCATATTGATTTTAAATAACCATGTAAAACATTAAACTGAAATATTAAGAGGAATCTACATATTAACTGAAGTACCCAACTGTTTAGAAATGTGTTCAAAGCATTGACAACATAAATTATCTTAACAAAACAATGGTATTTACTTGGTTGACATAGTTGTCCATTTATTAGTTACATTTATGCTAGTAAGAAGTTTCTAGGTGGTTCAATATTCTATAAGATATTCATATTGAAATTAGTCTAACATAGTTTCAAATATCAAACTGCCTCTTTTCATTTAGCATAAAACCTAAAGTACTGTGTATTCCTTGAAAGTATAAATAAAGTCTGAAATAACTGAAATTATGTTTAAAATAAATATATAAATTTAAAAAATAGATTTGGATAGACCTGGAAAAATTATGTAATAATCAGACAAACTTAAAAACAATAGTTTGGACTTGTTATGTGAACACATGTCTTTTAGAAGTTTTTTTTGTTCTTCCTGGGTCAGTTTTCTAAAAGGGTTTTATTTTTATTTATTTGTGTGTGGGGGTAGGTGGGTGCAGGTACCTGTAGAGGTCAGAGGTGTTGACTGACTGGAGCTAGAGTTACAGGCAGTTGTGAGTGGCTTGACGTTGGAGTTGGGGCCCAAACTCAGAGTTCTATCCCAGCATTCTTTGCTGTTAACAACTGAAGCATCTCTTCAGCCCCTCACATCATCTTTGGTATCAAGGAACTAATGAGAATTTGCAGATACATTTTATAGGTTTTGATCAATCTTAATAATATTAGTAATAATAGTAACTATAATTTTTCAGTAACATATTAGGGAGAGGGACACATTTGCATTCTGGCTTTACTGCCCATTAATTATGAAACCTTGGATTATGTCTCTCACCAGGCCTCAGTTCTAGCCCCCAAAGGGGAAAACAGTATTGCTCCCATCACAGAGTTGCTACAAAGAAACACTCTCGTGTAATACATGGAGTATGATGCCTGGCATCCAGAAAGGTCCCAATGAATGCTTCTTGTTAAGACTAATAAATATGCCAGGCAGTGGTAGCTCATACCTTTGATCCTAGCACTATGGAGACAGAGGCAGGCAGATCTCTGTGGGTTTGAGGCCAGCCTGGTCTACAGAGTGAGTTCCAGGACAGCCAGGACTGTTACACAGAGAAATCGTGTCTCAAAAAAATAAACAAACAGAAATACTCATAAATATACATCTAATAGAAGAGATTTTTGTTTTTCTTATTAGTAGAAAATCTTATTATGAACTCAACATAGGTGTCCATCTTAGGTATAGATACTTTTATTATATAGAACTGTTTTAATTTGAATATTGCTCAAAATAAATGAATGATTAACTAGGTATTTTTTATTGTTGTTTTGTAACCACAGTCACTAAAGAGCCTGATAGTTTTATGTCAACTTGACAAAAGTTAGAGTAATTGATGAGCAGGGAGCCTCCATAGAGAAAAGATTTGGTTGTTGGTAAACTGGTAGGGAGATTTCTTAATTAGTCATTGATGGGTGGAGGGTTCAGACACTTGTGAATGTGGCCACCCCTGAGTTGCTCCTTTTGGGTTCTATAAAAAAGCAGGCTGATGAAGCCATGGTAAATAAGCCAGTGAGCAGTGTTCCTCCATGGCCTCTGCATCAGTTCCCTCCATGTTTGATTTCTTGTCATGACTTCCTTTGGCGATGAACAGTGATGTGGAAGTATAATCTGAATTTATTTCCTGTCTTCCCCAAGCTGCTTTGGTAATGGTGTTCACCACAGCAATAGTAACAGTAACTAGGACAAGCATCTACCAAGGATATAGGAAGTGGGGCTTTACTTCTTTTATCTGCAGATTTGGATTACGGGTAAAAGAAGGCATATTAATCAAAAATTAAATTATAATGTTTACTGTAACCTCTTCCCCAAAGATTCTGAAAAATAAAGAAGGATATATATCTCTTAGATTATTAAAATGTGGTCACTCTTGGAGATAGACGCTAGGTTAGAGAGCATCGTAAGTTCAGTTCAGTCTATAATTCTATGCTATGGTCGTAAAATTGGGTTAATAAGCTGGGCGGTGGTGGCGCACGCCTTTAATCCCAGCACTCGGGAGGCAGAGACAGGTGGATCTCTGTGAGTTCGAGGCCAGGCTGGACTGACAGCCTCCAAAATAATACAGAGAAACCCTGTCTCGTAAAACCAAAAAAAAAAAAAAATTGGGTTAATAAGCATTCTTACAGGGTATATGTTTTTAGCTGAACATCTGTATATAAATATAATTGTCACTTCTGTTTTTGTCATCACTGAGCAAGTTATTTATAATAAATGATAAATAGATTCTTTTTTCTTATAATTTATGGAATTTAAAGAAATTTCATAATTCATAAAACTCATGACAGAACATTACTCATTAATATGTTTGTAATACATTTTGAAAGGGCTTTTGGTAATCATAGGGTCATGCCCTGCTCATAAGTTAAATAAATATGAACTAAGGAGAAGAAATAAAGATAGGAAGCAGAGAAATGACTGAGGTCATGTGGTAAAATAAGCTTGTTAACTCAGAAAAGTCCTCTGTAAGCTCAGGATTCAGCAAAGGGGGAATGAAATGTCTGTTTTAATAATAGGTGGGAAATCAGCAGAAAATCTATTCATTTTTAATGAAGCTAAGTAATTAAGAAATTTGAAATTAAGGCAAGATAATAATATTCTCCAGTAAACTCCGGAATACCAGAATTATTACCTGTAGTTTCAATCCATAATTTACTACTTTTAGAACTCTTAGGCATGGCTTTAGTGAGCACATAGTACCCATTATTATAGGTTATTTCTTAAATGTGTATATTCATGGGATGATAAGGTACTTAAAATCTGTGGTCATCAGATGTCAGGTTAATGGAAAATGAAAGCTTCCGATTTTTAACTTTCTAAGGTTAGCATCCTGGTGGGAAAGTTTTATTCTTTCCCAATTGTCTTTTGAATTAATTGTCAAACACATATTAAGTTGTGTAGAAATTACACACAACAGCATCTCCTTTATGAAAAATGTTTTTTCCTCAGCAATTAATTCTCTCTTATTTTCACGTGGTGTTATATAAACCTTATTGATGTCATGACATTATACTTTTGTTTTTTTCTGAAACAGGGTTTCTCTGTGGCTTTGGAGGCTGTCCTGGAACTAGCTTTTGTAGACAAGGCTGGTCTCGAACTCACAGAGATCCACCTGCCTCAGCCTCCCAAGTGCTGGGATTAAAGGTGTGCACCACCACCGCCTGGCTTGTATACTTTTGAAGAAAACAATAAAAAATTAATGATGTGAATGAAACAAGGCAGGAGATCCCTGAGCCCCTCTCTCCAGTCTACAGAGGTTGTTCTGTGGCCTCTGTCTTGGGGTCTCTCATCACCTCCAACCTGTGGTAGTGACCCTTTTCTTTCTCTATGTACATTCCTCTTTCCTGGTTCTTAAACTGCCCTCTGTATTCATTATTCTCTTGTGCATACCTTTTTACTTCAAAGAATGAAATTGCAAGAGGCAATTATTTTTTCAGATCTTGAGAAATAATTCCCCACCCCCAAAATTTGCTGGTTATTCAGTCAGAGTGGGTATTATTTCAGTGTGAAAAGTGACATCTTTATATCTTGAGTAGTTTATTGGATTATTCCTTTGGCAATATCCTTTTCCTTTACTCTTACTGTTCTGATTTTGTAGTTTTCTACTTTCTAAATGTAAATCATATGAAACAAGTAGAGTTTTCCTGTCTGAGAGTTTTATGATTTCTAATATTTTAGCTTTTACTTGACAATTTTATACATGTACACAATATATACTGACCACTTTCTCCCTTCCCTCCTCCCCTTTCTACCACCTCTCTCCTTCCCCACATCTGTTTTGTGATCCACTGAGTTTATGTAGTATCTTCTGAGTGAGTACACAACTAGAAATAATGATTTCTTGTACTCGCCAAACCCATCAATAGTCAACAGTTCAGCAGAGAGGAGTGCCCCTATAAGCTCTTCCCCTCCTTATGACTAATTATTGACAGTGTCAGTCTCATGTGATCCCATGAGATCACATTGAATTTGTGACTGAAGTGGTTACATGGACTCCAGAGGACCACATCCCATCTTCAGGTCCTTTTATATTTGCTACTCCCTTTTCTGCTATGTTCCCTAAGTCTTAGAGGATATGGTGTAAATGTTTATTTAGGGCTGAACATTAAACCATCATTTATTCTCAGCATCTTGGGCAGATATGACTCTGTATTCATGATATTCACTGTAAAGAGAGGCTCCTCTGATTAAGGCTGAGGGTAGCTTGTGTAAATGGGTATGAACATACACATTGAGAAGACAGTTTAATGCTATGTTGGTTTAGTTGCCCTACTTGAGCCTATGACCTCACTAGACACGGGTTAATAACTGGTGTTGTAGTATCAGGCATGAATTCCTGGTGTGGACCTTAAATCCAATTAGAGGGCAGTTGGTTATCCCTGGAACAATCATGCCATTTTTTGCACAAGTGGGCACATTTTACCCACATGGCAGCATAATAGATTCACTTCTAGATATGACCAATGATGCCTTTTCTCCTCCAACAACCTGCCTAGCATTCTGGAACTTCAAAAGCTAGACAGTAGAAAGGTTTTGGTTTCTTTTCCAGATTGCTTTCTGTGCTTCTTGTAACAGAGATGTGAGCCAACTTCAGCAATGTGGTCTTATTCTCTACTTCTAGTGGACAGCTTACAGAACTAACAAGAGCCTGTATTGTTCAGGGAGGTTCTGAGGCTTCCCTGAGAATCTCTGTATAAGAATCCACACTGGGAACTGGGAACTTCATTTAGTTGGCCACTGCTTCTATGGACAACATTATCTACCACTCAGGATGACTTCCTAAGTCTCTCATTTATTTATTTATTTAGGTTCAAAGATTTATTTATTTATGTTGCCATATGGATTTTTCA